GAACACGCCGTAGTTTCCAAGAAAATGATTAATTTTCAAGTTTTTTCAACATAGCTCTTGGCCTACGGTTTGGCACAACTTTTTTCTTAGACTGAATCATTTCGATCAATGTAATGAACACTCTGTGGAAATTTCATGACAGAACACGCCGTAGTTTCCAAGAAAATGATTAATTTTCAAGTTTTTTCAACTTAGCTCTCGGCCTACGGGTTCGCACAACTTTTTTTATCGACTGAATCATTTCTGTCAATGTAATGAACACTCTGTAAAAATTTCATGACGGAACACGCCGTAGTTTCCAAGAAAATGAATATTTTTCAAGTTTTTCAACATAGCTCCTGGCCTACGGTTTGGCACAACTTTTTCTATCGACTGAATCATTTCGATCAATATAATGAACACCCTGTGGAAATTTCATGACGGAACACGCCGTAGTTTCCAAGAAAATGATTAATTTTCAAGTTTTTTCAACATAGCTCTTGGCCTACGGTTTATCACAACTTTTTTCTTAGACTGAATCATTTCGATCAATGTAATGAACACTCTGTGGAAATTTCATGACAGAACACGCCGTAGTTTCCAAGAAAATGATTAATTTTCAAGTTTTTCCAACTCAGCTCTCGGCCTACGGGTTGGCACAACTTTTTTCATCGACTGAATCATTTCTGTCAATGTAATGAACACTCTGTAGGAAATTTCATGACGGAACACGCCGTAGTTTCCAAGAAAATGAATATTTTTCAAAATTTTCAACATAGCTCCTGGCCTACGATTTGGCACAACTTTTTTTATCGACTGACTCATTTCGATCAATATAATGAACACTTTGTGGAAATTTCATGACGAAACACGCCGTATAGTTTCCAAGAAAATGATTAATTTTCAAGTTTTTCCAACTTAGCTCTCGGCCTACGGGTTCGCACAACTTTTTTTATCGACTGAATCATTTCTGTCAATGTAATGAACACTCTGCAGAAATTTCATGACGGAACACGCCGTAGTTTCCAAGAAAATAAATATTTTTCAAGTTTTTCAACATAGCTCCTGGCCTACGGTTTGGCACAACTTTTTCTATCGACTGAATCATTTCGATCAATATAATGAACACTCTGTGGAAATTTCATGACGGAACACGCCGTAGTTTCCAAGAAAATGATTAATTTTCAAGTTTTTTCAACTTAGCTCTCGGCCTACGGGTTGACACAATTTTTTTATCGACTGAATCATTTCTGTCAATGGAATGAACACCCTGTAGAAATTTCATGACGGAACATGCCGTAGTTTCCAAGAAAATGAATATTTTTCAATTTTTTCAACATAGCTCCTGGCCTACGGTTTGGCACAACTTTTTCTATCGACTGAATCATTTCGATCAATAAAATGAACACTCTGTGGAAATTTCATGAAGGAACACGCCGTAGTTTCCAAGAAAATGAATATTTCTCAAGTTTTTTCATAATAGCTCCCGGCATACGGTTAGGCACAACTTTATTCATCGACTGAATCATTTCGGCCAATGTAATGAACACTCTGTACGAATTTCATGACGGAACACATCGTAGTTTACAGGAAAATACATATTTTGCAAGTTTTTTCAACCAAGCTCCCGGCCTACGGTTTGGCACAACTTTTATTATCGACTGAATCATTTCGATCAATACAATGAACACTCTGTGAAAATTTCATGACGGAACACGCCGTAGTTTCCAAGAAAATGATTAATATTCAAGTTTTTTCAACTTAGCTCTCGGCCTACGGGTTGGCACAACTTTTTTTATCGACTGAATCATTTCTGTCAATGTGATGAACACTCTGTAGAAATTTCATGACGGAACACGCCGTAGTTTCCAAAAGAATAAATATTTTTCAAGTTTTTCAACATAGCTCGTGGCCTACGCTTCGGCACAACTTTTTCTATCGACTGAATCATTTGGATCAATGTAATGAACACTCTGTGAAAATTCCATGATGGAACACGTCGTAGTTTCCAAGAAAATCAATATTTTTCAAGTTTTTTCAACCTAGCTCCCGGCCTACGGTTTGGCACAACTTTTTCTATCGACTGAATCATTTCGATCGATAAAATGAACACTCTGTGGAAATTTCATGACGGAACACGCCGTAGTTTCCAAGAAAATGATTAATTTTCAAGTTTTTTCAACTTAGCTCTCGGCCTACGGGTTGGCACAACTTTTCTCATCGACTGAATCATTTCTGTCAATGTAATGAACACTCTGTAGGAATTTCATGACGGAACACGCCGTAGTTTCCAAGAAAATGAATATTTTTCAAGTTTTTCAACATAGCTCCTGGCCTACGGTTCGGCACAACTTTTTCTATCGACTAAATCATTTCGATCAATATAATGAACACTCTGTGGAAATTTCATGACGGAACACGCCGTAGTTTCCAAGAAAATGATTAATATTCAAGTTTTTTCAACTTAGCTCTCGGCCTACGGGTTGGCACAACTTTTTTTATCGACTGAATCATTTCTGTCAATGTGATGAACACTCTGTAGAAATTTCAAGACGGAACATGCCGTAGTTTCCAAAAGAATAAATATTTTTCAAGTTTTTCAACATAGCTCGTGGCCTACGGTTCGGCACAACTTTTTCTATCGACTGAATCATTTGGATCAATGTAATGAACACTCTGTGAAAATTCCATGATGGAACACGGTTTGGCACAATTTTTTCTATCGACTGAATCATTTCGATCGATAAAATGAACACTCTGTGGAAATTTCATGACGGAACACGCCGTAGTTTCCAAGAAAATGATTAATTTTCAAGTTTTTTCAACTTAGCTCTCGGCCTACGGGTTGGCACAACTTTTTTCATCGACTGAATCATTTCTGTCAATGTAATGAACACTCTGTAGAAATTTCATGACGGAACGCGCCGTAGTTTCCAAGAAAATAAATATTTTTCAAGTTTTTCAACATAGCTCGTGGCCTACGGTTCGGCACAACTTTTTCTATCCACTGAATCATTTCGATCAATGTAATGAACACTCTGTGAAAATTCCATGATGGAACACGTCGTAGTTTCCAAGAAAATCAATATTTCTCAAGTTTTTTCAACTGAGCACCCGGCCTACGGGTTGGCACAACTTTTTCTATCGACTGAATCATCTGGATCAATGTAATGAACACTCTGTGCAAATTTCTTGACGGAACACGTCGTAGTTTCCAAGAAAATAAATATATTTCAAGTTTTTTCAACTAAGCACCCGGCCTTCGGGTTGGCACAACTTTTTCTATCGACTGAATCATTTCGTTCAATGTAATAAACACTCTGTGAAAATTTCATAACGGAACACGTCGTAGTTTCTAAGAAAATAATTATTTTTCAAGTTTTTTCAACATAGCTCCCGTTCTACGGTTTGGCACAACTTTTTCTATCGACTGAATCATTTCTTTCAATGTAATGAACACTCTGTAGAAATTTCATGACGGAACACGCCGTAGTTTCCAAGAAAATAAATATTTTTCAAGTTTTTCAACATAGTTCCCGGCCTACGGGTTGGCACAACTTTTTCTATCGACTGAATCATTTCGTTCAATGTAATGAGCACTCTTTGAAAATTTCATGACGAAACACGCCGTAGTTTGCAAGAAAATGAATATTCCTCAAGTTTTTTCCAATCTAGCACTCAATGACTTTTTCCAGTTTTGTTAAACATACTGGTTTGTAAATATTTCGTTCAAGTTCTTTCTCATATTCATAAAAAAAATGATGTGGCAACACTGTATAAGATTAAATTGCTGCATCATAGAAAATTTCCCCTACGTCAGAATTTGTGGATGAAGGTTTGTGGATAACTTCACACTAATAAAAAATATAGTTCTAATGTAAAAATATGCTTAGCTTGATATAAAAAATAGTGTTGAACTGGCTTGAAAGGCCTTGCCCTTTTCCTAGGTTCGCACGATGTTCCACGAGCATACCTAAGAGGAATTTCCTTTCGTGCGCTCCAAGAGATAAAACAAAATTATTGTTGAACATTCAGAAATAAATGATTTCGTAGATGTTTGCTCGATTGAGGACCATAAAGTTGAAATACTAATATCTCATATATTTTACGTAACAATGCGCGGAGTAGGTACTTCGCGCACTGTTTTACTTCGCGCATTGTTTTGTGCAAGGTATCATGGTGACGTAGGAAACTGAAAAAAGTGTCACTTCGCCATTTGTTATCAATGCGCGAACCTTGTCATTTTTTGACGTTTGTAGAAAAAATACTTTTTCGATTGATTTTCGATTACGCGATGAAAAACCTTGTAATAAATAGGTTTCTCGACTTTATGTCAGCTCAGGAATATCTTCAAATCATTGTAGCATCGTTATTGTATGAATTGGTCAGAAAAAATCCAGAAGGGCCTCCTTGCGCCCCCTTGGATTGCCTTATCGGAAAAATCACGAAATCAATTCGAGATATTGAGCAGAGCAATCGATCCAAATGAAGGATTTGTGTTTAGCATAGCATAATATGGTTATGGCAGCATCAAACTGAACAGACGATTTCACCAATTTCTGAACATACCTGCAAAATATGTTGAATGTGACTTGCATAATTTTAAAATCAGAAATGATGTGATAAAAACCTGGAAATGAAAAATCATCGATTTTCAACATCCTGTATGAGGAATATGGAAAATTACAAAACCGTTTCGAGATATTCGCTAATAGAAAAATAAAAAAAAATCCCTGGAATACGGAAGCATTTTAATTCTTTCTTTTTTGTAATACTTTTTTCGAACACTTGGTGTATAATAACAGAAAAACTCCCGATGAGTTTTGAACAAAGAATCTTGAACAGAAAGATCGCATCTTCCAAACACTGCATTCCGATTGAAAATCCATTCATTTTTCAAAAAGTTATGACAGTTTGAAAATTGTCGAAAATTTCAGTGTTCCACTTGTTTCTTTGAGCACTCTAGACATCCAAGAAAATATGGTTATACAGTAACTAGAAACGATATCCTCGATACTCACCATACTGGTTCCTGATGATATCGGGATCGCCTCCCTCGACCGCCCCTCTCGGCAGCCTCGCTTCCACGACCATCAGCCGCCTCTGCGAGTCGGCGGGACTCAGAGGCGTCCCGACACCTGTCACCGAACCGTCAGCCGCGCCGTCGTCGGCCGTCACAAGCGCCGCCTCCAGGGGCAGGTGCTTGGTGCCGTTGTCGGCGGGGCGGGGGCAGGGGCGGCCCTGGGGGCGGCAGTGATGACGGCGGCAAAGGGCGGCCAGCACAAGGCAGACGCCGGTTGCGAGGAGGGCGGCGGTGGCAAGAAGGGCCATCAGGAGGGGGCTGACCGGCATGGCGGCCGTCGTGCCTGAGAAAAGAGAAATAAATTGGTGAATTCGTAGATTTGTGAATAAGAAAATTTGTGAATTCGTGAATTTGTACCTTCGTTAATTCGTTAATTCGTAAATCCATGAATTCGTGAATTTGTGAATTGAATTATTCGTAATTATGTAGATTCAAGAATTCAAGAATTCGTGGAATTGTACAATCCTGAATTCTTCAATTTGTACATTCGTGAATTCGTCAATTCGTAAATTCGTGAATACGTAAATTCACAAATCGTAAATTTGTGAATTCGTATATTTGTATATTCGTGAATTCGTGAATTCGTAAATTCGTAAATTCGTAAATTCGTAAATTCGTAAATTCGTAAATTTGTAAATTCGTAAATTCGTAAATTCGTAAATTCGTAAATTCGTGAATTCGCAAATTCATGAATTCATGAATTCGCGATTTCGTGAGTTCTTGAATTCGTAGATTAGAAAATTCAAAAATTCGTAAATTCGTGAATTTATCTATTTATAGTTTCGTGAATTCGTTGATTCGTAAATTCGTGAATACGTAAATTCGCAAATCGTAAATTTGTGAATTCGTGAATTCGTAAATTCGTGAATTCATGAATTCGTGAATTAGTGAATTCGCAAATTCGTGAATTTGCAAATTCGTGAATTCATAAATTCGAATATTGGAAAATTCGTGAATTTGTCAATTCGTGAGTTTGTCTATTCATAGATTCGTGAATTCGTTGATTCGTAAATTGGTGAATTCGTAGAATCGTAAAATCATAAATTCATAGATTCGTAATTTCGTGGAATCATAAATTCAATAAGTCACAAATTCGCTATTTTTCGTGAATTCGTGATTTCGTAAATTCTCCAATTCATAAATTTGTAATCCATAAATTCGTTCGTTCGTCAATTCGTTGATGCGTTAACGCGTTAGTTCAATAATTCGTTGATTTGTGTCAATTCCATAATCCGTTAGTTCGTCAATTAATTAATTCGTCAATTCATTAATTCGTTGATTTCTCCAATCCCTAATTCGTTAATTCGTTGATTCGGTAATCCATCAATCAGTTGATTCATAAAGTTATTAATCCGTTGATTCGGTAATTTGTGAATTCGTTAATTCGTCAATCTGTTAATTCGTGAATATGTAAATTCATGAATTCGTGAATTAGGGTGTCCGTGAATTCGTAAATATATAAGTTGAATCGTAAGTTCGTATATTCCTGAATCCGTGAATTCGTAAGTAAGAAAATTCGTAAGTTCGTATATTAGTGAATTCATGTATTTGTAGATTTGTAAATTCGTCGATATGCCCATTCTTCACATTGTACCCACTTATGTTCGTTTCTTCTCACTATGAGGTGTCTTTTTGTTAAGATTATACCTATATTTTCACTGAAAACAACAACTGACAATATATGGCAAAAAGGAAAAATATTGAAATCATATAGGAAGAGCAGATAACCAATAAAAATAGGTTGACGAATTCGCGTGAGCATTTCCAAATCATGAAACTAAATGTGATATGAAAGAAGTACCCAAATGTTTCTACCAATATGTCAATTTTTTCCTTGCCTGTGCTTTCAGAAACTTAGTAAGTATTGGTTCATTTCTCCCTCTTTGACCTGTCTCTTTCCCAAGTATTCCTACCAATTTGACAATTTTTTCCTTGCCTGTGCTTTCAGAAACTTAGTAAGTATTGGTTCATTTCTCCCTCTTTGACCTGTCTCTTTCTCTGTCTAGAACCATCCTCGACTTGCAAAGCAACGAGCTTACAGAAAATCGTGAGATAATAACTGTATATATAATATATATGTATATATTAACTAAATAACTGTCTAGTATCTACTTAATGCTCGTTGAGAAACAAAAATATTCTTCAACTACCAGAATAGTATTAGGAACTATAAATACGAATCCTCTGTGGAACTGGGAAAATAAATGGAGATCAGGTGATTCCTTGATAGGGATTTTCTCCAAGAATCACCATCCAGGGTATATTGTTGAGATGAAACACTCTGTACCCTACGGTATTTAAATTAACATGCGATCATCACTTTGTTACTATATGCATAATAAAAGCCCTTTTCAACGTTGAATTCATCTCAAAATATTCCTCATGAGTAAACCGAATTAATTTCGCAAACATTACCAATTACAGTAGTTTCAAATCTAATATTTTGATTATAAAGTCTGGTGTACTTCGAAATGAGGGAGAACGCTACACTTCACAAATTCTCCCGAATTCTGGGAGTTGCCTTAGTAAACGCCGCAGGTTCATTTATTGGGATTAATTAGTGAACTGGAAAAATTACGTTATATTGCCTTTGTGCGCTCTGTTCCTTTGAGATGTAACCACGATGTTACTGCGTTCGAGGTTTGCTCGGGGTGATTTGAAATTCAGTTGCTTGAATGGCTCTACATACCAATTATGTATACGGGGACCTTATTAGGACTGTAGTGCCCATCAAAATAAAGCAAGTCCCGTAAACATACGCCTGAAAAGACGCCGTCCTCGTTATACAGGGTGGATGAAGCATCAAGATTTATTATTGATTGTTTCATTGAATTTTATAACATGAAAAACATGTGGAATAAATAGTTCTTTGAATAAATACAAAAAGCTCAAAGTCATTTCCACACAATGTTCATAAAATGAACAACAATGGTAGATTTCGGGAGAAAAACAACTACTTCCCTGGCTAATGCCACGCAGGAGATTGAATTACTTCCTCCCGGAATCTATGCATCGACTCGTATAAACGAATACTGATACAAGTGATTCTTTCCTGAATGCCTATTGATTCCGATTTAGCGAGGCCGCTAGACAACCACAGACCGGTTTCGAGCTCTTTTACTCTCATCAGTGCAGTGTAGGCCCCAGCCAGCAGTCCTAAGACCGCCGACTCAGCGAAGCCTAGCCAAACAAAAATCAAGTCGGCATTAAGTCAATACTATGTCAATATTATGTTTGTGGGCAAAAGAAGAAGATAATTTCACTAGAGCTGAAAATAGACAGTGTTCCATATGAAAAAAACTGATTTCCGTTCTTTTTTTTTTCATTTTGCGATTTGCAATTGTTTATTTAGGGAAGTGCCGAAAGATATAGTACAGATGAAATCTTACAACTTTAATATCACAAGTTTTTTCCACATCGTATGTTGAAGCTGTAGCTAGGGGTCGGATATAAAGAGACACCCTGTACATATTATGAATGTGGTGGTAGCGCCATGTTGTATTCGCTTGATGATGGAATTTCATGACGCAAAAAATGAGAGGGTAATAATTTCAGCTTTGAAAACTGAGTGTCGAAGGCAATCCATATTCGAAAATATACTTGAAGACTTATAGGCTCTAGTGTAACCTTCTATATATCTTCGTGACAAATTTTCGGGGCGAAGCAAGAATTATTTCCCAAAGTGGCAATATTTCAGAACTGGCAATATATGGCTGTTGTGATATCAAATGGAATCCTGAATATTTTATGATCGACTTATAGGAAAAAATGGATCCTGGTTTTAGATTACCAGATATGTCTCCAATGTTATTCGGTATCCGAAACGCGTATCCTACAACAAATGCATACTGTATGAAGGTATAGGTAGGTGTAAAAAATATTCTTTTTTGACTTATGAACATTTGAATAACTTGGTTTGGTTAGCTTTGATTTAGGTATAGGCACAGATTAACAAACCTTTGTTAATCTGTGGTATAGGTTTTTATCTCCGTATCATTTTTATTACTCATATTAGCTGTACCCTGCACGCGTTGGTACGATCAGAGCTGGGCATTATTTGTATTCACGAATACTTTTTAGTACTTATATACTTTTCGGTATTCAAATACTTTCTGGTTCAGGTAATTATATTTATACTTACATATATTTGAATATTTGTTGGAATATATTTATAACTTAGTATTTGCGAATAGTTTCCCAAAGTATTTAAATACTTTAGGAGTATTTGAAAACTCAAAAATATTCAAATACTAAGCAGTATTTAAATACTCCGAGAATAATTAAATATTTAGATTCTGACTTACGGCCATCACGGCTATGCTATCATCTTCTTGAATGGAACATTCTGTGGATTTAAGATTTTCAGAATCTGAGCTGATATCAGAGACCTCCACATCCAACATCCAATAAAGTGAATGATGCATTTATTTCTGACAATGATAATCATTCATACATTTCCAGAGATGAGGATAGAAAACCCAAAGAGTTTCGAGTAAAAATAAATGATAATTCTGTTCAACAATTTTCATAGGTAAGTGAGTAAGTCACCTCTTCTATCGATGTCGGGTTTAGAAAAATTGACGCCTTCCCAGTGCAGTACAAAAAATTATCTATTTTTTCATACTTGTGCTATGAAAACTGCCTCAATTACTCAAATCTTCATTACACACGGTGATTAGAAACGTCAAAAATACTTGAGTAACATGAATGTATTCAAATCCTTGGAAATATTTGAATACTTTGGATGTACCTATACATATAACTTTGGAAGTATTCAAATACTTCGGAAATACTAAAATATTTCGAGAATATTCAAATACTTTGAATACTTTGGATATACTCAAATACTTTGAGAGTATTCAAATACTTTGGAAATACTCAAATACTTTGGAAGTATTCAAATACTTACTGTGAACTATCGAAATACTCTTGTTATTTGTTATTTAAATACTTTTTGGCCTTTGAGAATATTCATTATTTAGATAATCTCAATATCCGAAAGTATTTAATACATAATATTTAAATACTTTTCTCAGAGTATTTTCCCAGCTCTGGCTACGATACTCACTGAAATGAATTTGAAGGAATTACAGTACACAAAATAAATATTGTATTTATTTCGAGTCATTTTAATGATTATAGCTGTCCGGCACAGCTTTGCACGGTTTGTGTACCCATTTAACAAAAATAAGACATTTGTTGGAGTCGTTCTGAGCTGTTAGCGTATTTGCAGTACACATTTTTTTGTTATTTCTCTTCAATTTTTTGTGCTGACCTATATAG